CTTAAATGGATTCCTCTTAATTTCATGCATAGTGCCCTCCCCTGGCCCTACTATCTAATATTCATAACTTTCATCCGAAACTATAGCATTCCTCTTAGAAAAAAAAAACCACATTTACTTGGTGAATGTTGAGATCATACACAATATTATTCTTTATAAATCTAAAGCTTTCCTTGGGAGATTAGGACCATCTATTAAAAGTTCCCTCAGCTTCCCTTCCTTTAGTTTCAGAAGTTTTAAATATTTTTATTTATTCCCTCTTTGGTGTCCTCCTTCATTTTTACGTCTTCCATTCATTTCTTAACCCATTATAATCTGATTTCTGTCCTCACTCAGCCATTGAAATTGCGTTGTTGATGGTCGTCTTGTCAAATAGTTCTTTACTTTGCCCCCTGCTTAAACCTCTTTGTTATGTTTTATCATGTTGAGCAATTTTTTCCCCATCCTTTCCTGTTTTTCCTCTTTCACTTCTTCCCTCCTCTTTCATCCAGTATCAGGTGAAGTGCTAGACTCTGGGTATATGAAGATTTACGTGAGAGAGAGAAGGGAGTGTATGTTCTACTCTCAAGAACCACACAGTCTAACAACAAACAAATAGTAATAGTACAGCATGCTAAGGATTGCACATACAGTGGCATTTAGGTTCAGAAAAGACCTTGGTTTCCATCTAGAAACTCTCTGCTCCTAGCTTTGTGATATTGTACCCTTTGGTTCTCTTCTGGCTTACTCTATATACCCTTCCCTTAAATAGGGTAACTTCCAAGAATTTGGTCTTTTGCCCATTTTTATTTTTGCTCTTACCTGCCCATGGATTGTCAGATACCTTTATAATATTAACTCTTACCTTTATACACCTAATTTCCAAGGCCTACATTTCTAGCATTAATCTCTCACTTCGTTTTCAAACCCATACCTCAGACTGATTCCTAGAAATTAAAACATGACTATCTTCAGGCATATTTAACTTTAACCTGTCCAAAGCTGTTTCTCTCTCCAACCACAAATGCACCTATGAAAATCATTTGAACAAACAAACAAAATTCATCCTGTGTTTCCTGTCTCACTGAATAACTTTACTGTTTTCTCTGTTACCTGGTCTCTAGAAGTCTCTGTGTCATTTTTAACTCTAGATTCAACTCATCTTATTTTTTACATATTGGGTATTGAGTTAAGTATATTATGAACAGGATCTAGTTTAATTCTTTTACTATGAGGTAGATATTGTTTTCTACATTTTTACACATGAAAAACTTGAGAATCAGAAAGGTCAACCTGTGTGTCCAAGAGTAATACACAGCGCCTGAGTGGCTGACTTAGGGTCACACCCATGTGGGTGTCTCTGCAAAGTGTGGTCTTTTGACCTTTGTATTGTATTGACTCCTCTCACAGTTGGTCTCACTGTGTCTTCTGTACCAATATTAGCACATTTAATATCCACATTTATACTTTTCTTTTAGTGGCTCTATAATCTACATGTTTTTGTGACTAAGAAGATATTCTTGTGTGGAAGAACTTTTCAGTGAATTAAGCTAAAACGGCTCAGCAAACTTGTTCTGTAAAGAATAAGATAACAAGTGTTTTAGGTCTTTGTGAGCTATATAGTCTCTGTGGCAACTATTTAGCTTTGCCTTCGGTAGAGAAGCTGCCACAGACAATATATAAATGAATGGGAATTGCTGCATTCCAACAAAACGTTATTTACAAAAACAGGACATGGGCAGGTTTGGCCTACCAGTTCTTGGTTACATAGTGTTTCATTTCTTCACTTGTGCATTTAAAATGCATTTATGTCTAATCTAAACTGCTCAGGTAAGAGAGAAGTTGAAAGAGTAATTAAAGAGGTATAATTTGAATTTAACAGTTGGGAGCTATTGATTGAGAAGCACTTAAGTTGGTCAGAGTTCTGAACTTTGTCCATGGGGAGGTTTATGAGTTTGCTCAAATGCATGATCTCTCTGAGTCTTAGTTTCTTTGTAAATGGTAGGAATAACGCTTACCTCACAGCGTTGTTGAAAGTGTGAGATGGAAGCCCACCATATCAATAGAGCTATGACTGCCATCAGCAGTGTCATTTTCCTTGGTCTCTTGTGTTTTCCACATGAACTGTTTCTTTTTTTTTTTATTAAAGATTTTATTTATTTGAGAGAGAGAGAGAAAGAGAGCACAAGTAGGGGGGAGTGGCAGAGGCAGAGGGAGAAGCAGACTTCCTCCTGAGCAGGGAGCCCGATGCGGGGCTCGATCCCAGGACTCCAGGATAACCTGAGCCAAAGGCAGACGCTGACTGAGCCACCCAGGTGCCCCGAACTGTTTCTTACAGAGAAATTTAAGAGACAAAAAGAATGGAATCTCCTCAGATGGAAGTGGGAAAGCTATCATAATCATTATTCTCTCTCTGTAATAGATGACAATAGAAAAAAAAACCCCAAATAATTGTTTTCGGTGGGGAGAAATGGTAGTGGGGAATATATGTCAGTGCTGAGCAGATAAAAAGTCTGGAAAGGAAGACAAGAAAATGAAACTTTTCTCAGTAAGCTGAGAGTGGGGTGAGGAGAACAAAGAAAGGGCATGAGGATGGGGCACATATGTGGGAACGGGACCTAGAAGAGGGTTTGGATGTGTGAAGGGCTGGGAACTGAGAGGGAAAACGTAGTCAGCAACCCATGAACAATTGCACCAATAGCCCCATCCCCAGAAGCATTCTGAACTTTGCATCACAGCATAGCCTTTGGAGGGAAGAGATGCTTTCTTGTGTCTTGCCAAGGGTGCTGAGCTGGGTAGCTCAGCTGGGTAGCTAACAACCTAACAGTGTGACTTCACGCTAAGATGTAGAAGGTGGCACATGCATATTTAAAATTCATATCTATTGCATTGACAAGCCACTGAACATTGTAGATGGTAAGACAGATTTCCGCTGAAGTTCAGCCAAAAACACTTTTTGAAACAACTGACAAAGTAGTGCCATAAATGAATTAAATCCAGGGAGTTCCTGGGTATCTTCTCTTATGATGGCAGTCTCCTGCAAAGATGCTGTGCACAGGCAGCTAATAAGCAGTCACACACACACATGATAACTTGTAGCTAGATATTTTCAGTTACACTTTTGAATCGGGGCACTGTGCTGCCTGGGTACATACTCAGTAGGCTTTTGATGTCACTTGGAACAATACAATTCACTTCTAATGCAGCTTACTATCACGAAGGTAGGTATTTTCTTAGTATGATTATAGGACCCTCACATAAAATAACCACATGGTTGTATGTTTTAAAGTAGCCCAATAGATAAAAAATTCCAAAATTTTGAAGATGATTTGGGTGATTTAAGTTCATAATAATTTTTTTTGCCAACATAGGGATAAAACAGCTGAAGATTTCCATTACTGAGACCCCTGAGTCAGTTTAAAACTTGTTTCTGTGACCATGGGGAATGAACACTACATTAGTGGTCCAGTAGTTGTCTTATCTCTTCCAGTGCTTTATAGAGTTCAGTCAGCTATACCTGATTGGTGACACGAACAGCCTGTATCGGGTGACTGCCGAAGGGACTTACCACTATGCAATTTGATGCTCTTCTTAAATTAATTAATGTGCTGCTCTTCTTAAATTAAATTGTAGACATTTTTAAAAAAGATTGTATTTATTTGGGAGAGAGTGAGAGAGAGAGCATGAATTGGGGGTGGGGGGGTGGAGGGTGGGCGTGGAGGGAGAGGGAGAAGCAGGCTCCCTGCAGGGAGCCCTACACCGGGCTGATCCCAGGCTCCCAGGATCCCAGGATTATGACCTGAGCCAAAGGCAGATGCTTAACTGACTGAGCCACCCAGGCGCCCCAAATTCTAGGCAGGTTTTTAAAAAAGATCTGGTCTGTACTCTGTCTTCTGGCTGCTCTGTATCCCTTCCCAAATAAGTGTAGTCCTGTTCCTGGTTTACTGTAGGTGCATAGTAGAAACTTGTTCTTTTATGAAACAAAAATATAACAGTAGGATGCTGCATTGGTATTTAAAATGACATGACCAGATGTGAGGATAGAAAAGATTCATATTTTATAAAAATAACTTCAGATGTCCATTGGTATAGTCTACCACTTTGTGTAATATTTCCTTAAGTTGTTCATTTTAAAAATTTATTTTTAATTTTTTTATTTTAAGATTTTTATTTATTAGAGAGAGAGAGAGAACGAGCACCAGTGGGGGAGGGGCAGGGGAGAGGAAGAAGCAGGCTCCCCACTGAGCACGGAGCCCAATGCAGCTAGATCCCAGGACCCCAGGATCATGACGTGAGTAGAAGACAGTTGCTTAACCTACTGAGCCACCTCACCTGGGTTTTTCATTTTTTTCATTTTTATTTTTATAAATATTAAATAAAAATAACCATCATCCAAAGTGGTGTATTTTATTTGAAACATCAAAAAAAGTTAATGTAGTAACAGTTTTGTAACATTATGTAATAACATTTTATAATATAGTGGAATGCAGAAGTCATGTCTGTCAAAGATAAGCAGAACTTAGTTAAGATGACAGGCAGAAACATGCAGCATGGCTGTTTCAAATATCCTCTCTTCTGCTATATGTAGTCATGTGCTTCCTTTAATTAATGAGACATTGTTAGGGTCAACCAAGCCCTGTCCTTTAGGCAATCCCTCTAAACTTTTTGTTTCTAGAATATAGTCCAAATAAAAGCAAATTGTCACATTTAAAGTTTTATTCAACCTGAGGGATTCAGGACATGACATGACCTGATGAAGGAAGTTTTCTTCAAACCCACAGAAGGACAGCTAGAGAATAGGGATCTAAAAGTGATGTTCAAAGTTCTTTTGATTTAGAGCAGTACCTAGTAAGCCTCTGTCAGCAGATTTCCTTAGTGGGATCTTCTGTCTGTTTGGAGGAGGCAGTGAGGGAAACAGATGTCAGTAGGACAATCGGATGCTGGTTGGAGACAACAGAGGACGTGTTTACTGTTTTAGAGAGGGAAACTGGACTTATGCTTTGCATGTGTGCTCTTTGCAGAATCTGTGAAAGGAGTTTCTACAATGGTTTGCTCAGCTCTCAGGAGAGTTGCCCACCTGCATGTTTACCTGGTGAGGAAGGCCAGTAGTGTCTCCAAAGGCCATCATCGGCAGGCCTTGGGCTCGAGACCTGCTGCTTCAGAGTTTGCTGCCCGAGGAGCTCCAGGTGGTGTGGTGGAGTTGCTGGGCAAATCCTACCCTCAGGACGACTACAGCAACCTCTCCCAGAAAGTCCTCTCCAGGGTTGGCAGGAATCTGCACAACCAGCAGCATCACCCTCTCTGGCTGATCAAGGAGAGGGTGAAGGAGCACTTCTACAAGCAGTATGTGGGCCGCTTTAGGACTCCACTGTTCTCAGTCTATGAGGACCTTTCTCCAGTGGTCACCACCTGGCAGAACTTTGACAGCCTGCTCATCCCAGCTGACCACCCCAGCCGAAAGAAGGGAGACAACTATTACCTGAATGGGACTCACATGCTGCGAGCGCACACGTCCGCACACCAATGGGACCTGCTGCACGCTGGGCTGGATGCCTTCCTGGTAGTGGGGGATGTCTATCGGCGCGACCAGATCGACTCCCAGCACTACCCAGTGTTCCACCAGTTGGAGGGCGTCCGACTCTTCTCTAAACACGAGGTGAGTCCTGAGACCGTTCTTATCATTGATACACAGCATGGACATTCTTGTTGAGGTCACTAAAGTTTATCTCAATGAAAGCAGTTGTCCTTGATCTCCTTTTGCATTTGTGAATTGTACATCAGTACAGGCTGAGCCTCAATATTTTTTTATTGATTTGTTGTGTTCGTACCTACAGAAATGAGTGGGCCTTTGTTTTGCCTCATCTGGTCTTAGTCTTTCAATACTGACCTGCCTTTCTCTAGATTTCTTCATATGAATGGTCAGTGGCTCAAATTTATCCTCAGTCCAGGATGGTTAAGATACAATGCTGAAACCTATGGTCAGGTTATCCCAGTTCTCAGTTAGTAAAAGTGAATTAGGTTTTTGTGCTTTTAGAGGTTAATGAATTTCTTCTACAGTAGAGGGGACTGGCAGTTTATTGGCTTAGATTGGAAACTGTGTTCTGGTCCCAAGCTCTTCCCTTACCATCCCCTCCTCTACATTTGTAGGTGTTTTACATTTTTTTCTTTGTGAGATGTCTTAGTTGTTGCTATTCCTGAAGTATATGTTTGGAGCTTAGAGGTTTTTGATCAGGGAATCTGATATTCTGGTTGTTCTCAAAGGCCACCTGGCGTGTTTGTTAGCTGATATCATAATATACTGATTTCCTAATTTTTTCTCTTTGGCAAATTATGAAAATCCCTAAAAGCTTGAGTCTGTTTCCTAAAAACCTGCAATACCACTTGTCTTTCATTCATATATTTTTAAGTCTCTGTTTTTATGTAAGAAACAAATGGAATAAAATGAGGCATGGGAAATACTTCACTTTACCCCTTTCACACTTCTTCCATACATGTTCATCAAAACAGGAAGAACAGTTCCCTCCTGTGAACAGAAGCTTCATGGGTTTTTGGACATGGAAGGGAATAGTATGTGATCCCTAGGCCAAGAAGGAATCATTGTTTTGTTGTATTAAGTGAGCCATGTCGTATGAGACAACTGTTTGCCTCAGGATGTGCTGTTTTTCTGTGAGTCAGTGATCCTACAGCAGTAGGTGAGCTTTACACGCAAAGACCATCCACGCTTAATTGTATAGCTGCTTAAATGAGCATTCTTACTCCTTGGAATAGCTGGCTCTTTTCTAAATTAGGATTAACACTATTAATAAGGGTATGGGTTTATTAGGAAGTGAAAAGGAAACGAACATAGGTCAAAGTCTAGGAAATATGATCAAGCGATAGAATGTCACCTATAATTAATAAACTGGAGGAGATGTATACTAGCGGGATGGTGGTCAGGTCACGGCAGCCGGCAGGCGCTCGGCCTGGCTCACCTCATTAAAAAAATGAGAAAGGAAAGTGCTCACTGATTTGTAAGCCTCCGTGCCATGAAAGTGGCTGTGAAAGCTTTGAGACTTACACTGGAATTATAATGGAGGAAAAATCCAGGCTACCTTAGAAGGTGGAAAATAGGAAGAGGGATAGGAAAGTCATCTTTATCTTGTTTCATATTTGTTTGGGGTCCAGTCCAGTTTAGTCGTTAGCAGACGTGGCTAATCTGGACTGATAATGTTACTGTATATTCTGCCTTATCATTAAAAAATTATACACACACACACACACACATAACTAATAATATAGTTTGATGAGGAATTCCATGTCCATTGTTTCATTTATTCCTCTTACTAAAACCCTTGTGAGATCAATTGTTTCCACTTCAACCAGGAGGAATCTGAAGTCCCCGGAGGTTGCCCAAGGTTATCCACCCAGTTGGTGGCAGGGCTGAAACTTGAACTCAGGTCTTCTGAGTCCATTGCCCATTCTGCAGTATTCTGTTGTTTTCTAGGTAGCTGCTTTGTAAGTGGGACCTGCTTATGACCCAGGTAGAGCGTTAGTTTTAAGAATGGTGTTGGGGAGAGAGAGGTTTTTTTTGTTGTTGTTGTTGATTTTGTTTATTTCTTTTTAAAGCCTGGTCTCAACTAAAGTGTTGGCACTAAGTTTGACCTAATCTTAACCATCAAAAAAATGTTTTTTCCTTCTTTCAGTTTATTCCCCTAGAACATGATTTTTCAGTAATTTTAATCATGTTACCTATGTAATTTAAAAATTATATTGTTATCTTTTAAAGTTCAGTTATTTAGTAATCTTTGTAATTATTGTTTCAATCACTATAATGTGTATTTCTACAGAAGAAAAGTAAATACAGAGGTCTGGGGAAAAGAAACAGGGATAAGCCTAGAAATGGCTGAATTATGACAATATATATTTTAACTATTAATTGTGAAGAAAACCCGGTTTGTATTTCGAAAAAAGGTTAAATGTATCAGTACTCACAAATCTAAATGGGTTAAACTTACCAATTAAAGACATACATTACCAGAGTAGACATTTTTCAGTGAGAGAGACCTGAAACAAAACCATACCAGAGGTTGAAAATAAAGGGCAGGAAAAAGATATATCAAGCAAATACTTGCTGGAAGAAAGCTGGTACAGCAATATTAATATTAGACAAAATAGAACTTGTGGCAAAAATTGATAAATACGAATAAAGAGGGATAATATATCAACTAGAATGCTTTATGAATCAGGAATTTTAATGTGCCCAACATCATAGCCATAATACATAAACCCAAACTGAAGAAATAAAAGTTTAATTTGACAAATTCATAATCATAGTAGAAGATTTTAAATGACTTCAATCAAAAGCCAGTGGGTTAAGAAGACAAAGTGAGTAAAGATACAGATAATGGGCTTGAGTTATGGTTATTTTTAAAATTCCATAACTAAAATAAAATAAAATTCTGTAACTATACAGATCCACACAGAAATTCCATACTCACAGTTGGAGGTAGGTAGTCACATGGGATACTTAAAATAAGTTGTCCATGTACCAGTTGACAGTTGAAGTCTAAACAGATGTCAGAGAATCAATAACATAATAGAACTGTGCTTGACTACAATGTGGTTTATGTAGAAAGCAGGAAGAAAGGATGATAAAAACTTTTCATGTCCTCAGACATTTAAAAATTCACAGTCATAGATTCATGGGATAAAGAGAAATATTACAGGGGCGCCTGGGTGGCTCAGTTGTTAAGCGTCTGCCTTCGGCTCAGGTCATGATCCTGGGGTCCTAGGATCGAGCCCCGCATCGGGCTCCCTGCTCTGCGGGAAGCCTGCTTCTCCCTCTCCCACTCCCCCTGCTTGTGTTCCCTCTCTCGCTGTGTCTTTCTCTGCCAAATAACTAAATAAAAATCTTTAAAAAAAAAGAAATTTTATAGTAAATTGCAAATTACTTGTTAACCAGCAAGGAAAATACTGTCTTCAGACTGCTCAGATATGTGGGAAAATAGTCACTTTATTTTGTAGAAACTTGGTAGACCCCACTTAAATTGTGTGATCACAGTTAACATTAATAAAGCAAAATGTGTGGGTTGGAGCTAAAGAGGTACTTGTAGTACATTTAGTTTAAATATATTTAGGAAAATTGTAAAACCCTGAAAAATCAATGAATTAAGTGTCATTTTAAGATGCTAAAGCAAACAGCATTGTTCTAAAAATGTAGAAGGGAGGTGGGTTGTATAGTTTGTAATAGTCCCAAATCTACAAAACAGATACAGCAACTGGAATAGCAAAGCCCATCTCTGACACAGCTGGGTGACGAGGTCTCCCTAAGATCTTCACAAATGGTGGGAACTGAAAACTGCCAGCTGTAAGCTCTGCACTGTGTCCAAAACCGAGGCCGTAAAGGGAACCAGTGAGGGCTGAGGGGAGGAGAGCTTCTGAGACTCTCAGAGAACAAACTTCAGACAACCCAATTTACTCGCGGGCCTTTGACATTTAGTGCTAGTAATAACATTGCTCACCAGTGACCACCAACATTACAAAGAGAGGGGCCAGGGCCAGACTTTCAGGTCTCCTGATGGAAGAATACAGTGGCAGCTCTAAAGTCTTGCCAAAAAATTTGGACCTGACTCTGATCAGATCTCTAGATCCAGCTCCAAATTGACAGGTAGTACAGAGGACAGAGAAACATGCTAAACTATGCCATGGAGAATTAATAAGCAAAATCCAACCTGTGGGAAATGCTACAGCAATGCTAAGGGTCGCCTGGGTGGCTCAGTCATTGAGCATCTGCCTTCGGCTCAGGTCATGATCCCAGGGTCCTGGGATCGAGCCCCACATCGGGCTCCCTGATCCGGAGGAAGTCTGCTTCTCCCTCTCCCACTTCCCCTGCTTGTATTCCCTTTCTTGCTGTCTCTCTCTCTGTCAAATAAATAAAAAATCTTTAAAAAAAAAAAAAAGATGTGATGTGCATAATGAAATAAACAGAAAAATCAAAAGGAAGACCTTAGACATGTTTAAGCAGCAGTGTTTAGAAATGTTTAAGCCATCATATTCAAGCATGTTATCAGTGGAATCCCTTTGTGGAATATCATATAACCTGGTTCCAGTGTTCTTCCATGCTCCTGGTGAGTTGCATGTGCTCAGTCTGTGTGGTAGTCATGCACAGTAAGACCATGTGTCAGTCTGAGACCGATGGGAAATCTTAAACTGTCCCTTCAATATAGGCAACTTGAGAAGCACTGCTGTATAGGACAAATGATTCAGTTTTGTCAAGTAAACTGCAAGAAAAATAAAAGGGAAATACACCTATAGATTAAAAGAAAAATCAAGAAATCATAATGCTTAGACCCTATCAGGAGAAAACATCTTTAAGGAAAAAATCATTTGAGGTCATTAGGAATTTGAATGTTAACTGAATGTCTGAATTTAAGGAGTTTTTTATTTTTATTTTTTAAGGTATGATAGTGGTATTATATTTAGAAAGTCATTTTCCTTTAGATTTACATATTGAAATACCTGTGAGTGAAATGATCAGATGTCTCGTTTTCTTCAGAATAATCTGGGGATAGGCATGTGGGAATGAATGGAGGGGGATTGGTCATGAATTGTTAATTATTGAAGCTGGGTTTTGGATACATGAGGGATCATTATCCTTTCTACTTTCATGTGTGTTTGAAATTTTTCCGATATAAGGTTAAAGGAAAAGACTGAAGGAAGAACAGTGGGGTTGGTCAGTCAATCAGAAAAACATTTGTTGAACACAAACTGGGGTTCAGGTCTGTAAGAAGGTATCAGACAATCATGAGGTGCTCCCTGGTTTCATGTGGAAGATAACTGTTAAGATTAAAAAACAAACAGGAGACAGAAGATATTAATCATAGAAGATTACATTGCATACAATGAAGACTGAAACCAATTAAATCTAGGATTAATAGCCTCTCTTCCATCATTCTGAGATGATTTTACACATTTTTACCAAGTGAAAGACTTGTATGGTCTGTTTCAGAAAATAGACTTATCAAGCTCATTTTATGAGGTTAGACGTGTTAATATACAAACTAGATGAAAAAGAAAATTATAGAAGTTTCATCTTTATGAACATAGGTGATTCTTTTTTAATGAACAGTTACAGAATTATTAAATGAAATATTTGCAAATTTAATTCACTGGTATATTGTGTCCTGCCATGTTATTATTATACATTTATTCTATTATATTATATTAACTGATATAAGGAGAAGAAGCATGTGATCACCTCAATAGATGTAGAAAAATAATTTGATGGAATTTAATGTTTTATGACATAAAAAACATTTGATGACATTAATGACTCATGATAAAAACTTTTAGCAGACTAGGAATAGAAGGGAACTTTTTTTTTAAAGATTTTATTTATTTATTTGAGAGAGAGAGAGTGAGAGAGAGAGCACAAGCCAGGGGAAGAGGCACAGGGAGAGGGAGAAGCAGACTCCCTGCTGAGCAGGGAGCCTAATGCAGGATTTGATCCCAGGACCCCAGGATCATGACCTGAGCTGAAGGCAGATGCTTAACCAACTGAGCCACCCGGGCTCCCCTAGGAGGGAACTTTCTTAAATGATATTTGTCAGGCAGTCATAGCAAATATCATAATTGGTGAGTCATTATAAACATTTCTATCACAATTAGCAACAATTCAGGATTACTTACCATCACTGCTTCTATTCATCATTGTGTGGGATGTTCTACTTTATGTAGTGAGCCAGAAAGAGAAATGGAAGGTATAAGCACTGGAAAACATGAGATTAAAGTTGCTTAATTTTAGATGATATGATTGTTTACCTAGAAAATTGAATAGAATATTCAGGTCAATTATTAGAACTAATAAGACAGTTGAGTAAAGTTGATGGGTACAATGTAAAAAAAAAAATATGTTTCTAATCCAGAAGTAATAGCCAGTTAGAAAATATAATGGAATAAAGATTTCATTCATAGTATCAACTAAAACTTTGACGTGCCCAGGTATAGTTGTTGCCGAAGATGCTCAAGATATTTATGGATAAAATTATTAGATATTATTAAAAGACATAAAAGAAGAGAAAAAGGAGAAATATACCATAATCATAGATTCATAGCTAGGAAAACAATATCATGAAGATGGCAGTTCTCCAAAATCAATGTATAAATTCAGTGTAAATCTAATCAAAATATCCACTGGGTATTTTGGAGAAGTTGAAGGACTAATCTTCAAATTCATGGGAAGAACAGGTTTGTGCATAGCCAGAACAATTTTTTACAAGCACCCGTATAAGGGGCATGCCTTATCAGACATCAAGACTTAAATGCTCTGTTATTAAGAGGCTTATTATTGGCACAAGTTTAGTCAAATAAAGAACTTTGAAGTAGCTCTCCTCATATTTGTAAGTGTATTATCTTATTATAAAGTGGAAATGATGTTACATAAATGGAGAGGTGATGGATTCTACATGAATTGCTCTGAGACAATTATCTGTATAGGAAAAAAGTATCTTTTCCTATCCACATTTGTGCTCTTTATCTCACACCAAATGGAAAATTCAGTTCTGGACGGATTCACAATCCATTTGTGAAGAGGTCTTTAAAACTTAAAGAAGAAAATATGAGAAATTATCATTATCACCTTAGGGATAGAATATAATATCTTAAACTCAGACTCCCTAAAAAGAAAAATCCTGAATGGAAAAAATTGTTAAAGAGTGAATACATTAAAATAAAATTTCTGCCTAACCAAAGCCTTTCATAAATGAAGTTAAAAGGCAGGCAACAGGCAGGGTGGAGATATCTGTGTGTATACAGCTAAAAGATTAATGTTGATCAAATTAAAATGTTTTAGTTTGAAAAAAAAGAATCCAGTAGGGAAAGTCTGACAGTACCAAGTATGGTCAATACACTGAGCCATGGGAGTGCTCTGAGGGAGTATAAAAACACAGGCCTGAAATCTCACTCCCACGTATATATTTAGATGTGTTCTTGAGTGCTCCTATTAGCAGATAGATGAGAATGTTCACAGCCCTCTTAGTATTAGCCCAAACCTGAAACAACCCATATTTCTACCTAGAGTAGAACAGGTAAGTAAATTGTGGCATATTTATCCAATGGTATGTGAGTCATATCTGTGAAAATGAGTAAATCACAACTATATGCGTTGACATGAATGAATTTGCAAAGTTATATTAGGCAAAGAAAGAAAGTTACAGAAGCTAACATTGTATGATTGCATTTAGGTAGAGTTTTAAAAATGGGCAAAATTAATATGTTACTCAGGGGTTCATGCATGTGTGGAAAAATTAAGGGATGCAAAGGAATAATGAAAAAGTTTAGTTGTTACCTCTGTTAGGAATGGCAAAGGGATTGTGATCAGGTAGGGGCATGAAGGGGGCTTCAAAGTTTTTGGTACTGTTTTCTTTTCTGAAAATGGATATGGGTGGTGAGCACACATGTATGTGTTTTTATTATTCTTCAAAAACAATATACTATACACTCTTTATATGAATAGTTTATTGTGGAATTTTAAAAAAATTAATAACTCATCAGCATTAACAGCCTATCAATAGATGTGATTGGCCAACAAGCAATGACCGGTCTTACCAGTAAATAACAAATGCAAAGTCAAAATATGTAAGAACCAGATATTGTTCCAAACCCATTAGATTAGTAAAAATTAATAACCTCGACAATAGCAAGAATCTAGGGGAACCACAAATCTTACATCCTTTTTTGGGGAGTGTATATAGTTGCCACCACTTTGTAGAGTTACTTGGTATTTTTTTTTTTAATTGTATACTCTGTAATCTGGTGTTTTTTTCTTTAAATGTAAAGAATAAAGGACAATTGGCTCTATTTGTACATTGAGTACTTTATTGCAGCTAACATAGAGCATCTATGTTAACATGGATGAGGTTTTAATACAATATTCAGGGAATCAATAAGTTATGAGTGATACCAAACTATGATATCCATTTTTTTTTTTTTTTTTTTTTTTTTTTAGTGGGAGAGAGAGTGTGTGCGTGTGTGCACGACTTTGGTGGGAGAAAGGGGCAGAGGGAGAGGGAGAGAGAGAATCTCAGGCAGACTCCCTGCTCCTGCAGAGCCTGACTCCGGGATCGATCTCAGTATCCTGAGATTGTAACCTGAGCTGAAATCAAGAGTCAGACGCTTAGCCAACTGAGCACCCAGGTGCCCCTTGACTATATCTTTTAAATTAATGAATTAATTAAATTATTTGAGAGAGAGTGTGAGAGAGAGATCTTGAGCAGGGTATGGGGTAGAGGGAGAAGCAGACTCCCCGCTGAGCAGGAAGCCTGATGTAGGGCTCCATCCCAGGACCTTGGGATCATGACCTGAGCTGAAGGTAGATGCTTAACCGACTGAGCCACCCAGGTGCACATGATCTCTCTCTCTCTTTTAAAAGATTTTATTTATTTATTTTTGAGAGAGAGTGAGTAAGCCCACATGAGCTGGGGGAAGGGGGAGAAGGAGAAGCAGACTCCCCGCTGAGCAGGGAGCCTGATGCAGGACTTGATCCCAGGACCCCGGGATCATGACCTGAGCTGAAGGCAGACACTCAACTGACTCAGCCACCCAGGTGCCCTTTATTTTTATTTTTAATTAATTAATTTTTGAGATCTAGAAAGCACTTTAATATTCTATCCTTCTTCAAAAGAATATAGAATGCTTCACGAATCTGTGTGTGATTCTTGCACAGGGGCTATGCTAATCTTCTCCATATCATTCCAATTTTACTATATGTGCTGCTGAAGTGAGCACCCCAAGCACCCTTTAATAGATATTTTAGAATATGCCCAAATAACAAGTGTTCTCATTGTGTACTTGCTCATGCTTTGTCTCTTTCACTTGCTCTAGCTCTCCTTCCTTCTGTCTTTCACACCCATTCCCCCGCCATTTCACATACAGTGTTTTTTTTTTTTTGTTAGATAAATATGTAGGTGGGTGTGAAAAAATATATGGGAATGATAAAAATCAAACTCAAGACACTGATTACCTGGCAGGTAAAGGGAAGGTGAGTGATAGTAGGCACCATTATTGTTTGCAAATAATGCCAAATATTATGAGTTTTTTTGGAGGCTGGAAGGAATTTTGAGACTAAAAAGTTTGAGCACCACTGTTCGGTTGCTTCAAACTAAATTTTTACCAAACATGTGAGGCATTCATTTTGCAAAGAATAGCAAATCTCATGTGTTTGACAGACCCACCAGAGGGAGCCCATCCAAATCCTGTATCTATTTAATCTGATTTAAAAAAAATTAACAAGTACATACCTGGACCGTGTTCAGAGAAGCTGTATTTTCCTTTTGTCCCTGGAGATGCCTTGTCCTGTTTCGCCAGCTGTGCCCTGTGTACGATTCCTGGGAATGCACTCTGAGCACAGTGAGTGCACCGAGGGGCCGTGGAGGAGGTAGGACGCTATGCAATTTATTCTTCACTCTGGGCTGCAGACTCTTTGTTTCCTCAGTGTGTCTTCATTGTCTCCATTCCCCTTTGATGACTTCCTCTGGGTCAGTTTTATCACGTACACACATATGCAAGCCACACTTCCTCCTGAATTTAAGATTATTCATGATCAGCCTTCCCTTCTTCCTATTTCTGTCTTCAGTAGTATAAAAAAAAAATTTCTCATTGCTTCTTTTTTTTTTTTAATTTTAAGAATTTGTGTATCTCTCTTGTCTTTGTTTTCTTGGCTGGTAGTTTTTGAACTTGAGTGTCTTAACAAGTCCTGGTCCATGACCAAGTTTTTGTGGATCTTACAGGAAAATTACTGATCTAAGAGGAATGTAGCAAGTTTTATAAATGTATATTTGTTCACTTCAAAGGACTCTTCCTTTTCCCGAGATGATTTCCTTGCTACTTACTTAAATATTCTTTTATGAAGTGATGGTGATGGTATTTTAAAAATATGCCTGTATTTCCAAAATAAAGCATTGCCAAATTTATCTTAGTTCTAGAATTCTTTGAAATTTTTACCAGCCTATGAAATACAAAGTAAAGTCTTATATTTCTAAGTAAATACACGTATGTCTTGATAAATGAAGACATAGTTATGTTATTGAGAAGTTGTAAACGTTCTATAATTAATAGTGATTCATGCATATTCACACAGAAACAAAGGGGAATGTTTATATAGAAGAGGTAAGTAAAGGTATACAGAGAAGTAAACTTTGTTATAATTTGGACCACAACACATTACTGAAATACTACTTCATTCAGAGGTCCAGTTCATATTCCATCCCATCTCAATTGCCTATTCTTTAAAAATAATCACTGGCATTCCCCATTTCTTCCTGTAGGAGTGTGGTTAAGGGGTTCCCTCCATGGATTGTGCTCCTTGCCTGTAATTATTCAATCCAAGTGGAGTAGATATCCTTCATTTCAAACAACCCCTTTGGCATCCTTTGTGGTTCATCCTTGTTAGAAAACCACTCTCATTTATCATCAGAAAATTTCATTTTTGCTCCCTTTGATATTCTCTCCCACCTTCCAGATGGTTCATTAGAACCCTCCTGTTCTTGGGCTTCTTTTCCTGAGCTTCCCCACTGTTACTCTTGTGGTGAGCCAAAGGTAGTCTCTTTATTCCTGCTTTCTACCCTGAATCACTTTTCTGTCATTCAGTGAATGACAAGGTTTTATTCTCCACCATGTGGTTATTGGGTTTCCTTAATAGCCTCATGTGGAGGGGCTTTATTGAAGGCACTTTTATTTGGCCTTGATAGATTATAGTCACCATGTTTCCCTAATCTCCTCTTTAAACTCTTTTAGGAAGGACTCCTTCTGTCAAAGACACACTTAAATTGAAATGGCTTTTCTTTTTTTATATTCCTTTTCTCCACTCGAGTGTTTACTTAGGTATGTCTCTTGACAGTGAAGCAGAAGGCAACTGGTCACAGCCAGGAGTCCACAATATATTGGATTTGAGTAATACCCCATTATTGGAGGACAAAGGGGGGGTTGGAGAACCATTTAAAGAGAGACCAGTCTGTTTTCTCTGGCACAAGGCTTTTGCAGATAATTTGTTCTTGCTATGACAAAATAGAAACTCATAGCCTCTTAGCCTGAGACCATGTCACTTACCTATAGCATTATGACCCTCACTGAGCTTTCAGTACATCCCGCCTTGAACTTTTACTTTGTATATGTCTGGTTTCTCCAACTGGTTGGTCACTTCCTTATGGGTGTCTCCTGTTCAGCCCAGGATCCTGCACAGAGTAGAAGTTGGTAAATGTGGTGTTTGGATGTCTCCTTCGTTCTGGTCTGCCAGCCTCCAGTCTGCAAAGAATGGCAGCTAATGTAGTTAAGTGCATGGCAGTTCACCTGTCAGCTTTTCTAGCTGGACATTCTTAGAGCTATTTCTCATGTTCCAGCCTTCCAGAGGAGCAGGTATATCATTCAGGGCTGGATTGCAGGACAGAAACCACATAGTAATGGATCAGGGAAAGCTCAATTTAAAGAATTATTAACTATAACATAGAAAATTGGGGCAATGAGGGATTGGCTAGTAAGAAGTAAAGAGAACTCTAGAGAGCATAGGACTTGCAGATAAATGAGCAGCTGCTACCCCTAGGACTGACACTGAACCCCTAAGGAAGAGTCCTCCGCCCCCACCCCCCAGCTGTGGCTCACTGAATGGCACAGAGGTGGTAGTGGTTTCATGCTGGTGAAATTGCTGGATATCTGCATTCTGGAACTTGTTGGAAATCTGCTTTTTGAGGGGCCAAGGAAAGCTATTTGAGGGTGGTGTCTTGTAGGAAGCACTCTGCTATAAAATTGCCTAGGAAGGGCCGTGGCGGAAGCAGCTGTCCACTGTGGGAGCTCCTGGGGAGCTTAGTGCTCCTGCTTACGCTACAGGACACCTGGGATCCAGCAGGAATTCCTTTGTAATGTGTGCCTTTTCGGGGACCTCTACTGATGGTGCTGCTGGCAAAGGAAAAATATTTGAAGGGCCCAACTCAGTTTTCAAGAGCAGTCAATGGTGGATTGATTTGTGTCTGAGAGGCAATACATTGATAACTAGCACAGCCAACTTGCTCCTTTTCCCGAATATCTAGAAGTCTTTAGGAAGTTAGGCTGTTATTCACCCAATAAATAGGTTGCTAGGGCAAGTCACATTTAGGGAGGCACAGACTTTTGTCCTTGATTCTAATTTAAAATTTCTGATTATAATTTAGGCTGTGGACAAGCTGTCTAGTTGCTTGTTCTTAGTACATGGGTGCATAAAGGACAGAGGATATTCTGAAGGGTAAAAGCTGGAACCAGTATAGGATCTGGAGAAAAACAGATGAATATCCTCCACATCTCAATCCTTGAAGATCTCAGGAAAATCATTATCATTTACATTCTGCATTTGCTGTTGGAGGCCAAGAGGGCCTCATTAGGTTTTACTGAATCCACATAATTACAGTAGCAGTATTTTTTGTACTAGCTGAAGTGATGTGTGAAAGTAGCAAAAATATTTTCACAGTGATATTATGCTCTTTCACAGTAGACTTCACACCTTGCTGGAGACTGCATTTCTTTGTGTGGTGCACATTACAGAAACCTACTTTCTATGGAAGGGGTGGTGTAATTTCACATTTTCAGTTTGGTAGGTATGGGTGGGAAGGTAATGAGAAGGAGTTTGCTGTACCAGCCAGCCTCAGAACCAGCTAGTAACCCGTGATATGCACATCTTCTTGAATTGTCAGTTCAGATACCTGAGTCTGCTCTTAGATGGAAAAGATGATGCTCCTGCTATTTGACTGGCACTTTAGGTGTCTTCTTTCTGAAACTTTGTCCTCAAATCTTCTGTCTAATGTCATCCCCCACATTCATCCTGCAGTAGGTCTCTGAAATTATAAACTAGTTAATATGAATGAATTTGAAAGATAAAACAGAATTTTCTTAAACTAGATATATCATTTAAAGACAACGCTATTTTTCACCTATATGGAGACTTTCTAAATGTTGTTTATATGATTGATAGCATTTCATCATTGCAATGATTTCTAGCCTTTTTCTTTTACTATTTGGGAATCTGCTGAGAGATTTGGATACTACACACACACACACACACACACACACACACACACACACACACACGATTTTGTATGTAGTTTAAGGGGTATGATATGTTCCTGGATTAGAAGTCACTGTCAAGGAGATAGTTCAGTCTCCATGTTGATAATTCCCAGCCTGTACATCTGTAGTAAACCGGAAGAACTGTTGTTCCTATTCTCTTAGCATTTCTCTCTTCCCACTTCTACTGTTTCTTATAATACCTCTCTTAGATCGCATTGGGATCCAGGCTGGGATTATGTTTGATGGTGGATTACATGAACAGCAGCAGAGGTGAGTGTTACGTTAGCCATAGGAAGACAGAGAATGCTGCCTGACTTGGGAATGACCAGATGTTGGCTGTTGGGGTGATTGGAGGATCAAGGTTGAAGTCAAGAGCTAAGAGTCAGAGGCTGTCTAGGAATAGGTGGGTGACTTGAATGTGTTTGGGGAAGTCAGGAGAACAATTTCTGCCTAAATCTGAGAACCTGTATCTTGGGGCACAGGACATTCCTATGTAGTGACCATTCCAGATCGAAGAAATGGAAATATTTGTTCAATGTTTGGAAGCTTGTAAGGTAGAGAGCTACCTTGAGATTGGACTCAGGTACAGAGTTGGGTTGTATGGATCTTGTGGGGATCATATCTTAGCACACATCCAGTAAAAGGTGACTCTTGGAGGCCTGGCATGTATTGGGGTTTAGATAATTCATGGTATGTTT